ACAGGACAGGAAAATAAAGCCCTGAACCCTCACAGAAATTCACCTTCCCTCCTCGTCAAAAGCTGGAGAAATACACTCAACATTGCCTTAAATTTGAGAATATCCCCAAATTTCCACCCTCTTGCAACCAGGGCTGAAATCCCCTTGCCTGTATTTATTTTTTTTTCTCTGCCTTCCTTAGATTTAATTTTTTTGCTCACACCCTCACCCCATCCAGCAGGAGAACAAAACGTTCGTGGGTGAGCAGAGCAGTGTGTGTTGGTGACACTGATGTCCCTGAGCTCAGGAGCAGTGTTGTGCTGGTGACACTGGTGTCCCTGAGCTCAGGAGCAGTGTGTTGGTGACACTGATGTCCCTGAGCTCAGGAGCATTGCCTGTGGTGACACTGGTGTCCCCTAGCTCAGGAGCAGTGTGTGCTGGTGACACTGGTGTCCCTCAAAGCTCCCAGCTCAGGAGCAGTGTCTGTGGTGTGCTGGTGACACTGGTGTCCCCCAGCTCAGGAGCAGTGCGTGTTGGTGACACCGGTGTCCCCCAGAGCTCCTGGCTGTGTGTCCCTGTCCCCCAGAGCCCCTGGCCGTGTGTCCCTGTCCCCCTGGCCGTGTGTCCCTGTCCCCCTGGCTGTGTTTCCCGTCCCTCCCTGCCCAGCCTTGTCCCTTTCCCATCACAGCTGTCCTACGTGGACTCGGACGGGAACCCCATCGGGGTGGTGCAGATGACCTTCCTGCGCCTGCTGAGCGCCTCTGCCCGCCAGAATGTCACCTACAACTGCTACCAGTCGGTGGCGTGGCACGATGCCACCACCAACAGCTATGACAAGGCCATGCGCTTCCTGGGCTCCAACGACGAGGAGATGTCCTACGACAACAACCCCTACATCCGAGCTGCCCTGGACGGCTGCGCGGTACGTGGCTGCTCCTGGCCCTGGGGACAGCTTGGGGACACCTTGGGGACACTTTAGGGACACTTTAGGGGCGCCTCTGTCCCCTCCCGTGCTTGGCCAGCATCATCTTCCCCGGAGCAGATCGCCCTCAAAATTGCGGCGCTTCAGGGTTGTCACCTTGCTAATTTGGAAATAAATGATTCCCTGGGGGTTTGTGATCCTGCTCAAAGCCAGGGGAAGCTGCAGCACCTCCAGGAGTCAAATTAATCTTGATTAATGCAATTTATCTATCTAAAAACGCTGCTTTTAAAAGCCTCCCTGTGCTTTTTCTCTTGCCCAGTTCCTCACACGGGGAGAGGCGAGCGATGGTGCCCAGTTGGGTTTGGAAATGTGGGAAGGGTTTGATAAGAATCCTTTAAACTGCTTTCAGAAATTCTCAGAGGCAAAGCACGAAGGGTTGGGTTGGGATTTTTGTTCTTGCTCACAGGGTGCACGAGCACAGCCACGATTTCCAAAGGTGCCTCACGTCCTCCCTTTTCTTCTAACTCCTCTTGGATGCTTGATTTGGGTTTAAACTCTGAAAATTCTGCCCTCAGGAGATAAAAATTTGGCAAAGCAGGTGCTGCCTGCATTTATTTTGAGCCCCAGTTTGCTGGTGTAAAAACATGCATAATTCCCACCCTCTGGAACTGCAGCACTTGGAGCCCACAGGACAGAAAGATTGAGATGTTTGACAGAAAAAAATCTCCTCATGTAATTTGAGATTGAAATGCTTCTGTTCTGGCACAAACAGATTTTTTTTACTGATGGAGCAACGAGGGAAATCAGATTAGAACTTTTAACACATTCCTGGAGAGGGAAAGGGCATCCAGCCCCCTTCTGGAAACACTCAGGAGAAGTTTATCCTCAAATTTTTCGTGTCTCCTGATGACAAAACATCCTTGGGGAAAAAGGGGCCTTCTCCTCCCTTCCCATTCTGAATTTTAGGGTTGCTGGAGGACCACGTGTTGCACTTTTTAAAGTGGGTGAGCCTCCTGGAAATCTCCACCTTTTGGGCAGATAAATTGGATTAATCTGCTGCCCTGGCAGATGGTGCTGCCCAAAGCACAGGCAGGATATTTGAGATTTATCTGTTGATTGAAGGAGTTTGGGGTTTACAACAGATTCTCTACATTAAAGATGATTTTAGTCTGACTCTTAGATCCATAAAATGGCCATTAGGAATTTAGAGTCCTCCAGCAGGAGTTTAGAGGTGCTTTTATTTCTTTTTTTGGGAGTGAGTGCTACAACCCCTCCAATTGCTGGGCTCGGCTGTGCTGGGTTCATGGTTGGACTCGATGATCCTAAAGATCTTTTCCATCCTAAGAGCTCCACAAACGCTGTGGATTTGAGGTTGGGCTGCCCCACACAGAAGGAGCCCCAGGGCTGATATTTTTGCCATCATTTGAAAATGTTTTTCCTGAACTTGCAGCCCTTCTCCTCCAGCCTGTTCTTCCGAGCCACACAAATCACAGGGAAAGGCAGAGCCCAAAGCTGCTCCATAAATTCTCTTGTTTGTGCAGCTTTGTATGCCCTTGGGGGGCACTTCTGCTCCTCTAATAATTATTTATATTTTGGAAAGAACTCCGTGGCCACCAGGCATGATAAAAAAGACTGCAGCACCTTGTGAATTCCATCAAACTTTCAATGTGATCTTTTCACTAATATATTCGAATTAAATTGCTCCCATTTGCTCAACAAGCCAGGCATGTCCCTGGGGGAGGAAAAACAACCCTTCCACAGCCACGGTTTTTTCCAGGCTCCCATTCCAGCTTGGAAATGTGCTGGAGCAGAGTTAGAGTGTCAGGATCTGCTTCTGCTCCAGGGTCTGGAGGGTTTTTCAGTGGTCACCTGAGTACATGTATTTTAAACATGCAAATAAATTTGTTTGGGTGTTGGTGACGCCGATTTGGGTCCAAAAATTCCCGGGAAAAAATCAACACCATGTTCCCAGCAGAGTGATGATTATTCAGTTGTGCTGATGTTGGCTTGGTCAGAATTCCTTTCTCCTTCATTCCAGGCAAGGAAGGGCTACCAGAAAACCATCCTGGAAATCAACACCCCCAAAGTGGAGCAGGTCCCCATAGTCGACATCATGTTCAATGACTTCGGAGAAGCTGCACAGAAATTTGGATTCGAGGTGGGACCAGCTTGCTTCCTGGGCTAAAAGAGCCACCTGAACCTAGTCTCCAAATGAGCAACCTCGTAACCTCATTTAATTAAAAACAAAAAAAAAAAAAGAGAAAAAAAGAAAAAAAAAAAAAAAAAAAAAAAAACGGAGAAAAAAAAAAGAATTCCTCGTCACGTGCACGGTCTGAAACTGGACAGCGATGGGTTATTATTTTTTTTTTTCCCCCCCTCCCTTCCCCACCTATTTTGTTGTGTCCCTGGTTTTGCCCCTCTGTGCCCCCCCCCCCTCCCTCAGCCATTCCCAGGATGGATATGGAATCTCATGACCAGCAGCCACACATGGAGACCTGGCCCTGTCCCTGCTGCCACCCAGCTGAGCCCACCTCCAGCAAACTCCTGCTCCTTCCTCCTCCTCCTCCTCCTCTTCTTCTTCTCGCCAGGAAGCGTTGGTTTGTTCCTAAGGAAATTAAAAAAAAAAAAATAAAAAATGGAAAAAACTTGAAATTCCTCCTTGAAGTCCCAGCCATCCTGGATCTGGAGCTCCTTGGAGGTTTTGTTGCCTTCCACGAGGTTTGGATCAGCTCCAGCAAGGAAATTCTGGCCAATTCCAGAATTTTCCGTGGTTCCTCCACTGAGTTTGCCTCATTCCACGTTTTCCAAAGTGCTGACTCAAGGTCACACTGGGCATCTCTTTGCCAGTGTCTTAAAGGTGCTTCTATTTTTGTATGTTTGTGAGTAAATATTTGTGTCGTGTTTTTATTTGAAATGTTGGAATTGTTTCTGCCTTCAAACCATGCAAGTGACCTTGTCTGTAATTAAAGAATGAATGAAGACAGCAGCTCCTGTCCCCACTTCTGCCTCTTCCCAGTCCCAAACTGGGATCTGGAGGCCTTGGAATGACCCCCAGGATGAGCCACAGATGCCTTTTGGAATGATTCCTTTCAAATGAGGAAATTAAAGCCACTTTTTAATAAATTTCCTACAAATCCCCTGATCTAAAAGCAGGATCTGCGTTGAGCCTCTGCCTTTTCATCCACTTGCTTCTTTTAAATTCATTCCTCTTTTTTTTTTTTTTTCCTTTCAGCATTCCTTTAACACGATAAGAATTAAACCTGAATCCATTCCCAGTGGCAGATTCCAGTGGCAGGGGAAATCCAATTGTCCTCTCTGAATATCAAGAATTAAAAAAATAAAATAAAAAAATCTAAAAAAAAAAAGGAAGAAGAAGGAATAAAAAAAAAAGGTGCTTTTTATAGTTAGTTTTACATATCTCTGTGGTGCTATCTGATAATTTTAACACAACACTGGGGATACCCTGCCACTGGCCAATCTCCCACTTGGCTTTTCAGGCACATTCAGATTTTGGCTGCTGATAAATGCATGGCACCTTCTTCTCTCTTCTATCCAAATCCTGCTCCTCTCCTTCCTTGGATGGGCCCGTGTGGAAAAAAAAAAATAACATTAAAAAGTCCTTACAATTTTCTTTTTTATTATTATTTTTTTGGTTTTTCCCAAGGCTATCCATGCCTTTTCCTGGTGGGAAGCAGAGCAGATTGTGCTCAGTGCCTGAACGTTTGTGGTGCTAATTTCTGGAGATGTTGGGTGTCCTGGAGCCGTAGGAATTGCTGCCTGCCCAGCAATTTGCAATTTTCTTACTCTTCCCACTTTTTTTTTTTTATTCCTTCCACAACAGGCTCACAACACCCTCATCTTTTACCATTTAATTTTTCCTCCTTGCCCCCTTTTCCTTCTTCACGTCTCTCAGCTGGAAAATAATTGTTGCAAGGCGGGGTTTGTTTTTTTAATTATTATTATTATTTTTATTATTATTCTTTGGCTTGGAGCGTTCAGTTCAAGGGGGATTTTTCACCACGAAGGAAAAGACATCACATTTACTGTGAAAAAAACCTATATATGATGTCTTTTCCCCCCTCCTGCCCAAAATGAGAGCAGCAGAATCCGAGGAAGGGAGGGAGCAGCAACGTGTCCATCCCTCCCCGTGCTCTCTCCCATTTAAGGGAATTAAAAAAAAAAAAAACCCCAAAAAGGTGCTACCCTAAAAACTACAGACTCCAGCAGCAGAGCAGTGAAAAGGAATTTAGGATAAGAAAGAAGGAATTCAGCTTCTCAGTCACCCTGGCAACAGCAGGAAGGGCAGGAAAGGTTGCACATCCCAGCAAAGCCATATCGTGATATTTTGTCCTCTGTGTCTGCCCAGGTCATGGGATTCTGTTCTCAATTTTCTCATCAAGGAAACTTTTTTTTTTTTTTTTTTTTTTTCCCCTTTTTAATTTCTCTGCTTGAAGAAGAAAGAAAAAAAAAAAAAAAAAAAGGAAAATAATAAAAAATTTCCTCTGTCGAATTCCACAGTGTTGTAATTGTACTGAGCTCCAAACTGTTCCAATCCCCCCCAGACCACTTAGCTACGGTATATTGCAATAAAATTACTACTTGTATTTGCAGACCTTCTTTTTTGTGTAATTTTATTTTCCCTCCTTCCCCTTAATATATATTGACTTGAACAAATGTTGATAAGAAAAAAAAAATAAAACCTATGGAAAAAAACAAAACAAAACAAAAAAAACCAACAACCAACTTTTAGTACATAAGGCCCTTTTTAAAATATAGTGTCAAATGCCGTATTGTACATTTCTTCAAAGTCCAATAAACGTGTCATAAAATTTAAGTGTAATGCCCATAAGAGCTATTTTTAAATATTTTAAACCTGTGTAATAAAGGAATAAATGTAATAGATTTTTTTTTTTTCAATAAATCAAGTTTACTGTTTCCACCTAAACCCCCGTGATGTGAATCTCTTCTTGGAGCTGATTCAGCAGGATTTCCCCAGGACCCCCCTGCCCTGTGGAGCCTGGAAAGTTCATCAGAGGAGCAGTGGAAGTGCTTAAAAGGTAAAGAAATATCGTAAAAACACAATCCAAACCCATCATGGGGAGATTTTCCAGGCCTGGAATATTTTCTTTGGTTTTGTTTGTTTGGTTTTTTTTTTTCTTTTTCTATTTTCGCAGTGAGAAATTCCAGTGCAAAATTCCAACCTGGTTTTGGTGGCTGGGATGTGGAGGAGAACACTGAGTGGCCACCAGCTCTTCACCTTCTCCACAGCAGCAGAAACGTCACCTGAGGAGTTTTTCTTTTGCTGATCTTCTCATCCCAAGACAAATTCAGTGGGGAAAAAAAAAAAAAAAAAGAATTTCCAGCTTCTTGGTGAGCTCCTCAACCCCCAAATCCCCAAAATTGTTGCGTGGAGGGGCCACTTTGCTCATCCTCCCCTTCTCCTTCGCTCCAGGATCCTCTGGAATTCAGAGTGGGGAAGTGGCACGAGTCTGGATCTGGGTCACTCTGCTTCTCAGGGGCTTCTTCAAACAATTTCTGGTTGGAGCTGCAGCTCCAGGAGATGTTGGAGCTCCAGGAGGTGACACTGGGAGCCCTGCAGGTGGGTCAGGTGCCACAAGCCCAGCCCTGCACTGACCAAGCCAAGCTCTGTGTCCCAAAATTTCTGCCCTTCGTCCTTTGGCCGCTTTGATGATCTTTGTTCTTTGTCCAAAGGTGTCCAGGGAAGGAGCCAAAGGCACGGATTGGGTTGGGTTGGAAAGGAAATTAAAGATCAGTCAGGGACACCTTCCACAGCCCAGGGTGCTCCAAACCCCGTCCAACCTGGACCTGAAATTGTTTAATCTTCAGCCATTTAGTCTGTCATTAACTTCTAGGAGCAGTTTTGGGAAATCTTGGGGTATCATGGCCAAATCTTCATGCAGATGCACCCCAGAAATGCAGAGCTGCAGGAAGAAATGAGGGCAAAATAACTTTATTTACTTAAACCCTGCTGGAAATACTTCACTTGGACCTTGATCGTGCTTCAAGGTGACTTGAAGTTGTGATTTGCACTCAATCACTGCTGCTTGCAGTGCTCAGGGAAGCTTTGATGTGCTATTAGGGAAAAGCAGAGATCTGAGGAGGGATCTGACTGTTTCTGGCACTGCCAGACACAGGAGCCATGGCAAATCTTTCACCTCTTTTTGTACAACAAAGTCCGTGATTTCGTGCTCCGGCTCCAAAGCTGTAACTCCTGCAGGTGAAATATTGAGGGGAATTTTTAGAAGAGCCACAGAAAGAGCAGCAGATTATTGAGACACAGTGTGAGCACCCAAACCTGCTCACTTATGGGGTGAGGATGGGGCTGCTCATCCCAAATTCCAGCAGCAGCTGAGATCCTACAAAGGCAGGACCAGGAGCCCAAAGCTTGGGATGCAGCAAAAGGAGGATGGAAATCACCAATCTCAGCAGGCAGCCCAGGAAATGGGAATTATCCAAGGGCAGCTGATCCCAGTGGGGTTTCCACAGCTTTTAAAGCAGGGAAGGGAAGGCTGTAGGGTTTGGGGCTGCTGC